GTTGCTTGTTTATTTTTTTCTCCCAGCATCTTGTCACTACCTTCTCTGTGGTCCACCTTGTGGCATAAACACATGCTGTAAATATGTCAGAAATTAATCAGTGATTTTGATAGCAATTTTTGATTGCTGGGGAAACCAAAGAAACTTCTGCTGCTCCCAGAGCAGATCAGAAAATGATCACTATGAGCACAAACTGGAGAGGGAAAGTGATGGTAGGCTGTGATGTTAAAGGCTGGGATGAAAAGAGGGATTCCAGCTTTGGGAAGGAGTGGACCCAGAATATACCTCCATTATGAACAGAAAACAGTTGAATTAATAGCTACAGAGCATAGATTATACAAAATGTTTTCACAGGAATTCTAGTTTTCATAGTGGGCCACTAGAAATTTCAGTCACTTGTGCAGTACTATGCAATTCAAAGAGTATGGCACATTGCTTTTGTTTTTCATAACTGTGAAATAAGGTAAACATTAGCTCCTGGAAAAGAAGAGCATTAAGCTGTTGTATCTTGCATCTAGCAGCTGTGTCTTAGTGTCCAGGCATGGGTGCATACATCAGCATGCTCACTCTGAAGCTGAAAGTTCATGCTATATAGAAGTTATATTGAAAGTCAATTTATTGTGTACTTTCCATCATTCAGAATTTCTAGTTCTGTTGCCTACAGTGTAAATGCATTTTACTGATTTTTCTTATGTCGTAGACTAGATTGTAAAGAAAAAAACCCCAAGCCAATACCAACCAACCAATCTACCCACCCCCCCAAAAATAAAACAACCAAAAAACTCCATCAGCAGGTAAAATTCTCCGAGAATTACAGAATATATACTGATAAGAGTATTTCACAGAACAAAGATGTACTTCATTGAATCTAGAAATCTAATAGTTATTCATAGCTTTCATCTTCCCTCTTAATACACAGAGTTAGTAGCTGGTGTGCATGATTGAACATAACACTGTAGTTTCCATATAGATTGCACTAACTTCTATCTTATAGGTGGATTTTTAAAATTTTAGTCTCCAGGACTACCATAATGGCTTTCCTAGGTGATCTCTACCTTTCCTCCAAGTGAATTATGTTATTTGGAGCCTCTACAGGTAGGGGAATTAGCAGCATATCATGTATAAAATGTGGATATTTTTATGCTACCATATCTTTAAGTCATTCTAGCTTAAATGTTTAAGCACCAAGTTTCACTATGTCCCTAGCACTGTGTCTGATATCAAACAATGATCACATTAACACCTCAGAAAAACATGCAGTTCCTTCTGTGTTGCAGTTCCACAAAAGGGTTCAGTAGCAGGATGTACAAAGTGGTTTTGATACATTTACTCATTGGATAAACTCCAATGTGAATGCTTCTTTTAGTCCTTTTTGTAGCAAGGTATTTTACTTAATATAGAAATTGAATTTTGGAAAATAGTACTTTGTGGATGTGTATATAAATGATGCCTGCTTTTTGTTAAGAAACAACAAAAAATCCTGACCAAAGTGAACAAGTGATTGTTGAGCTGTGAATGCAATACACATTTCTTAACTCCACAGATGTGCTTTCTCCCAACTAGTCACATTACAAATTTTTCATAAATGTTACAAACTTCTAACACGTGAAATGGCTTAGAAGAGGTATAGTGATAATTAGTACCTAAAATATTAGGTACTATTAGTACCTATTATTACCTAAAATATTATACCTAAAATATTATTACCTAAAATATTAGCTATTAGTACCTAAAATATTCACTCCTCTAGTGGGAGAAATAAGAAAATGTTGAGGGTTCTCTGATTAGCAAAGACACTTGATTATCAGATTGGGGAAATCAGAACCATTTTCACTACCAAACATAAAATGTAATTTTCACAAGAACTCCACCTATAGCAGGGCATTCCCCTTCCCTATTCCACCTGTTTTCTCAGCTGTAGAACTTGCATATTTAGGAATCTGAATTTTCCTGTTTACATGCTTTGTTACCTTATGCTTTTAGTATTCATATTGAGCTTTTCCAGCCTGCATGCAAGAGCAAATCTAAGCCAATAGCAATGTTTGTTAGGTCATGAAAGAAAGGTCATGGTGTGTAGCATAATTAGCATGTTTTATTTGTTGACACATTATTCTATATATTGTTTATTATGTTAATGATTTCTCATTATTCTAATGTATATTCAAATTATAATATACATAGGCAAAGAGATTAGTGTCATTTATTTGCCAGAAGAGTTGGAGAAAAGCAGAATGATTCTGAAGAACCTATCCTGGGCTCTCTTTCTAGGATAGTATGTATATAACCAAGTCTGAAATTGCAGTATGTTCAGTGATTCACTTTTATCACTAGAAGAGATGTAGTCAGTTGGATAAGGGCTTCTGCATATTTTTATTTATGCTGTTATTTAGCATCAGTATTTATTCTATTTGTATACTTTAAAACCACAAAAGTTCAGGAAACAACCCTTGCCATCTAATCTCATTTGCTATCACTTCAACCGTAAGACAGTTATTGCAAAATCATAACACTTCACTATTCAAACAGACAGAGTTTTTATGGCCCTCCAACTGAATTTTACGCCTGCCACTTATTACAGAACATTACCTTTAAGAGAGGCTTGCAGCTGGTATTGATGACAGGCAACAAGACATTTGTCACCTATTCTCTTGGGCAACAATGATCCAGGTGCAAACACAAGTTAGCAGATTCTCATTGGAAGGAAAGAAGACAACTGTTACTCATTTGTGAACGAAAGTGCTCCTGATTTGGTTTTGCATACATGGCATTTTCAACAGGAATAAGAATCACTCAGCTAATCCAAGTCAAAAGTGGCAATTTCCACAGGCTATACTTGGAGCTACATATTCACTGGTAGGATGTGGGGAAATTTGGCAGAAATACTGAAACAAGTTAGGAGCTGCAGAAATCAGTAATTTGGAAGTTGTCACCTACATGCTTAAAGATTCAAATTAGATTGCACCTAGGCAGATATATTGTTATCAATATTGCTGAGGTGCCCATAATATGCTGTTTCCATACAGTCTCGTCTATCATTCTTTGAACATTTATCTCCTAGTCGTGCTGTTTCTTTCTGAAAACACATTTGAAATAAAGGGAAAGGAGATGCCTAATGGGACTAGCAAACGCATTCAGCAGAACACTTCCACAATTTTTGCAATTTTAAACAACTGCACTGCTTCTTGTGGGTACCCAGCCAGTCAACATACACACCGCCTATCAGTACCAAACTTCTGCATTGCTACTTTTTATTTAATAGAACAGTTGCAAACATTGCTAAAAGAAGCCTTAAGGATTGCCTAATTACATAAGATGGCAATAACACAATATTCTTGACTCTAGAATGTGTCTGCAAGTGCATGTAAATGCTCATATGACAATAGCAGAATATCTTGTTCTGTTCAAGAAGCTGAGGCTGTTTGACCAGATCTCAGTTTTCAGAAGACTGGAAGCAGATTGCTCAGCTCAGCTCTTACTGCTTTGCTCAATCACAGCTATTTGGTGATGGCACCAATAGCTTATTTCCTAGATAGCTCTGTGATATAAACTCTAAGAGGACTGTACGTATTTCCACTGCACTGACCGTGTCTTTATTACAACTAAGACATGAATAATTCTTCACCTTATTTGAACCTAGCTAGAGCCCACAAGTAACTATGTGGTAACCAACGACTACAGCTTGGAAGGGACTAAACAGTAAATGCTGCAACCTTGTTAAATCATGAAAAATTTATTTTCATTACATATACATGAAGGTAAAAGATTTCAGTCAATAGTGTTTTGAACAAGCATTTCTGACATGAGCCTGTTAGTGTAGCTAGGCTGAAACTTAATGCAAAGTTAGTGTTTTGCCTTTATTTAGTAATTCACTTTTAGTGTGTATATACAGAATTCATTTTCCTGTTAGAATACCAGAGACAGTAATATTGCAACATTTACATTCCTCATATAAAATGGAGTAATGTACATTTTCAGCTTGGTGTAGATACATAAATATGTACAAAATAAACATTATTGTAATTAACATATTCAGACCATTTATTATTTAGCAACATCAAAAGCAGATGCACATAGATTTAAGTGAAAATGGTGAAAAACACTTTTATGACATTAGTGACCATTATTTGCATATATGAAGTAGTACAGATAAAGGCTTGCCTTTCAAGCCTTCTGTGGGCATCCAATAACTTCAGTAAAAAAACAAAACTAATTGAGAAGCATAAGATAATTATATATATATGTGTGTGTGTGTCATGATCAGATGGTTTACTAGGGTCCATCTTGATCACAAAAGGATAACAATGTAAAACATACACATTTGTTCAGAGCATAAAATATTGCACAAAAGCAATTTCTTTTGAGGAAAATAATTCCTGTGTTTGTGAACAGCAAAACTGCTTCTTACACATTAAAGAAATAATATATTTGCAGTTTCTAAACCAAAGAACATTCAATAATACTGTCAAAACTGTCATCCATCAACTTCTTCCCAGCCTGTTTTATGGCAATGGTATGTCATTAGCAAGATTTGGCAAAGAGAGAAGGCAGATAGACAGTACATGTATATATTTATCACAGGCCAGACCAAATCCAATAGTTACCTAAACCAACTGCTGCATGGTTTCAGTTCCCTCACAATTTCAGCCTTAAAGAAATATGGAAGTCTTCAGTGCTAGTCACAGTGATAATCACACAGTAGTAGAGTAAGATTCTGTTCTTCTCTGCTTAGAAACCATCTTGTCTGAATTCCCAGTCTGAAGGGCACTTTCCTCAGTATCACTGTCACTGCTGTCTACAAGTGTGTGATCCAAAGACATCTGACCAGTCCTTCTGGGAAGATGAAAGTTCACCCCACTCTCCTGTATGGAGTTAGTTATAAAATCTTCATCAGAAGAATGAAATGATTCATCATCTCCTGTGAAATGGTTGACAATGTGAATCCCATCAAAAGTGGGTTGGTCTGAGAAGTTTCTCTGGCCTTTTAGACATTTGATCTGTTAGAAAAAGTGGAAGTTGACAGTTAATCACAGCTCAAGGGTCCAGCAATAAAACACCCAAACAACAAAAATCAAACCAAAAAAACAAGTGCATTTTCAAGAAATGCCTCATTGAACTCTTAATGGATAAAATCATCTGAAAGTAGCACATTTGATGATCACTTCAACTATTACAGTTTTAAGGCTTAATAATCAAGGTACCTAGAATCAGTAATGAGAGATTCTGCTTTTACTGCATCTTTGATATCCCCACAAGAATGGTTTCTATCTTCTAGAGTGGCCTACTTGTTTCAACAGCACTTTTGGCCTTAACATTTTACTTTTACAGCTCCATTCTTTCTCATATTGCCTGATTTCTTACTTGAGAAAGCCCCCCCTTCAATGAACAAGGTCCCAAGTAAATCCCCAAGAGTATGTTTAGTTCAGTCTACATTGTAACATTAAGTGTCTTAATTATCTAATTCAGATCCAATGAGATTTCACATCAAGTAGTATGAGAGAAACATCTCAGTACAGTATAAAGAGATTGTAGCTGCAATTTTAAGAAAACATCAAACAAGAGAAAAATTATTGTCTGACCACCGACAGATAACATTTTAATTCAGTGTGCAGCAGAGTGATACACAATTTCAACCATGCATTCAAACTACTCAAAACTAAGACACAAAGCCCAGAAGTTTGGCAAGTCCCCTATTAATTTAATGAAAAATAACTGCAACTCATGGAAGACATTCTGAAGGTTGTTTGTTTTTGTGATGTTTTGGTTTGTTTAATCTAGAATTTCATTCTTGTTAGCTTTTAGTAGAAAATACCTCAGGGTCAGTTTGACAGTCTGAGATATTAAGATAAAAAATCCCAAGGATGCAGTTAAACATTAAAAATGGATTATAGAACCTTCCTAATGTCACTCTAAAAGCTTAAAAGATGCACCTATTGCTAATTTGGAAGTGGCTTTTTACAGTAAGAGACCTGGAGAATAGAAGGAATAAAATGCTGAAGAGTTTCTTTACCAAAATCTGTTTGATGTTTCAGAAATCTGAAGCAATATTCCCTTTGATAAATAAGAAGTGCTTGTATGTCCTCAGTATTGCCACTAATAGGAGATTTTTACCTGTCCATTTGGGGAAGAAAGAATCTCTGTACTTACCATGGGCTTGTGCAGAAGATGAGAACAAAAAAGGAGTTGAAAAAAGATCACAAGAGTCATAATTATGCTAGAAGCCATTAAATTGCATGTTAGCATGTAAAAACTCCAACTTTTGATGTTATAGCAAAAAATCCCTGTTAGGACTATGGGTACATGATGTAGATCTGAATCTTTGTGGTTACTATGCATACTAACATTAGTTTTTTGCATTTTCTTCGCATACACAGAGGCTGCTGTTGTTTCATGAGGACTTTGTATAAAGACAAGAAAAACAGAGTTCCACACTTGTACAGCATAACTCATGATGCAAGCAAAACCAGCTTATATAAAATACAAATATATCTGGAATAGATAATTTTTACTAGCTTATATACCTAGATTCAAAAAGCCTGGTACAGAAATTCTTGTGTTATTTAGAAATATAATTCCTGAAAATATCCTGCAATATGATCAGATTAGCTACCACATGAATTTTCCAAAACAGCTATCAATTTTAGTCACTAGGAAAATAAAACACAGAAACCCAACAATTTCTCTCCACCCTTACCACAGGAAAAAAAAAGAAATGCTGTACAAGTGACCAGAAACTTCATATTAGAGTAAGAAATTATATGCTTTCAGGTCTGTACAGTTAAGCCATTGGTTCACCTGAAATTATAAAGCTGATACTCAAAGTTAGTTGTTTTGAACACTCAGAAAGCCAAGCCAATGACCTCAACTGTTTTCCTGAAGACTTAAACATGATACCTTTAGATGAAGTTATTTGGGTAACATGACAAAATCATGGTTTCACAGTTTTAGGCAGCAACTGTTCTAAATAGGAGTCTGTGGAAAATGCTGTTGGAGAAGATAATGATAAATAGACACAGCCTTTGCCAGTTCCTAAAGGGAGTCTCAGAAAACACTGTGTTATCTTTGTGCATCCCTTCGTTAGAATAACAAATCTCTGACTTTCCAGAAACATTTTTTATCTGCAGCTTTACACTTGCCTGCCTTTTTTCTTAAGCACTCCTCACATGCAAGGGGAAACAGGCTGTGAAGAAACATTACATACTGCAGAGAATACATACTACACATTTATCAATGGTCATAGAGCTCCAGAATTTCTGTCTGCTTCAGAAATGGCCACCTCAGCCAGAACACTGTGGCATAGACATTGTTTGTATTATGAGGGTCAACAGGCTGGAGAGCAAAACTGCTGGAGAGGGCCATGGGGTCCTGCCACAAGGAAGGCTAACTCGAATCCACACCATCCCTGAGTAGTGAGGAAGGCTAACAGCATGCGAGGCTGCACTGACAAGGGCAAGTTACTTTCACAGCTGAAGATTAAGGGGCCATTCAACCTAATATTTGTTCAGGAGCATTTCTGAAGCAGCTTGATTATTTGGAATTTTTACTGCAACAAGAAGGATTTGTATGGCTTCTCAAAGTATTTGGAACAACTTGCAGAGAGCCTGCACTCCCATGCAATTAAATACCAGCAGCTAATGCCAGCCTAAAGCTTTAAAATTGAGGTTTCCTAAAATTAAGTTTTTTACTCTCATATAACTTCACAGTCTAGCAAGTGAGGCTCTACACTTCTAAAGGAAAAAGCAGTATCTTTTTTCAAGGGAGGAACATTACTGTCCTACTGGCTCAGGGAAGCAGTCCATCCGCCTAATATGGTGTCTCCAACAGTGACAACAGGACCTTCCTATTACCAAGCCTCCACTGACTTGGCCAGAAGCTGTTGTAGCAAATATGAGTGAAATCTTTTACTAGCTGCTTCAGCATACGTTTATAGATCAGCTGTCCCTGACTGATCATATAATTTGCTGTCTACCTCCACATCTTCCTGTGGCAGTAAATTCCAGAAACTCCTTTATTTCTTTTAAACTAATCTACTTGTTTTAGTAAGTGCCCCCAGATTCTAATAATTCAGGAACAAGTGGTGAAAAGCAGTTCTGTGGTAATTATTCTGAAACTTATATCATAGTACCTTCTTCAGTTTTCTCTCTAGAGCAGATGACTTCCAATCCATTTTAGCCTCTCATAAACAGGTGTTAATCAAGACAACCATCATTCATCATAAATTCCCTTTAACTTTCCTACAGACCTTCTTTAAATTCTTTACATCCATCTAGAGGCCAAGTGGCAATACAACTCCCTTTATTTGGTTTTTAATATACTTCCTATTAATGCCCAATGTTGCCTTGTCTGATTTGGCTGGGGCTGCATGCTAAACCAGTGTCAGAGGACTCAATACCAACTGAAAACATCTTTCCTGATTTGTAACTACCATTCTATGTTTGCCATTGTGTAGATATGGCTTAGATTTTGCAATAGACAAACAACCACCTTATTCACACTGAAACTAATTTGTCAGTTTAAGACAGACTTGAGATTCTTGTTGTCAGTGTTTCACTTGGACATAGGAAAAGAGCTTAAGGTAGGAACTAAAGCATTAGGCCAAGATCTTGCCATTCATCTAGCCAAGCATATTGAGACAATGGGAAATCCAGCTAAGGACTTGGAATGCAGGACGTGTGGACCCAACCCAAACACTCCCCCCATACCCTAGTTCTACTCTATACTTATCCCTGAAGGAACTACAGCCATGTTGAGCAAAGTATGGATTTGCACCCCAGGGTCTCTTAGTTTCTCTTCTCTTTTATACAGTCGATATTGGTTAAAGGCTTTCAGTTTTGGGTCTGGCCTTCCTTCATGTGAAGGGAACTAGATCTCTGTCACTCCAACAAGTAACATTTAAAGGAACCTGGTTTTTACTGCTTCAGTTTGCAAGAATCTCAACTCTGATCTCTAAAAAGAAAAAAAAAAAAAAAGCAACCAATAAAAAACCAGGTCTGGTAAACCCCATGTGTTTTACTTTTAATTCTCAAATCCAGGTCATATTGTCTAGATGACTGCAGCTTCAACCCAGTTTTCACTACAACACATTCACACGGTCTTTAGGACATTTCAAAGGGTTAATAACATTACGTGATCAAAATATATATCATCATTATCCCTCCAAAAGCCAGCTGAATCAAGGACAAAATCTTAATAACATGCACATTTATATACCTTCTTGTGTCTAAAGAATTCCGTATTTTAAAGACAAACTGTATGTCTGCTGGTCAACATATGAAAATACTTAACTGTACATACTCTTAAGAGGTAACAGTGTACTTCCACAAACACAGAAGAGCTGAAAAAGGCTAGCAATCAGATCCTTGAACCTTAAAATAAACTTTCTTACCTGATGCTGACTGCCTCATCAAGCCAGGCATGAAGGAGAAACAGTAAAGAGAAATTTATAAGTTTTAAACAATTCAAAAGACGTTCCATATTAAATCATAGAATCAAGTTTGAAGTGTGATAGTCAGTTGCAAGCAAGTTATATTTCTAAGTGCCTTTGGGTTTTTTGAGTAGGGAACATAGGTTAAACTTTCAAGTGTGACTTTGTGAAAAAGTTCAGCTTAAGCTCTGGGAGACATTTTTATGTTGTAACCTGTGAGGTTTTAAGCGAGGAGTTGAGTGGTGAAAAGTGGAACTAAAATGCTACTGTCTACTCCCTTTAAAAGGTTTCAATCAGTAATTCTTGAAATCTACTCAATTCCAAACTAGTAAAGACGGGTTTCAACAAAGCTTGCCAATAAATATTAAATCTAGTCACAGTAAGATAACCAAGAAATACACAAGTGAGATGGAAATGTGAGCACTGCCTTGGGTGAATAAAATTGGTTTTGGCAGAAGGTAGTATGTAACATTTAAATGTTTATTTAAAGAATAAATATACTGAATTCTCAGTGCTTTTACTTGTAAGAACAGGAATCTAAAAATCAGAGTTCCCTCTTTATTTGTTCTAAACTTAGTAACATTTGAAACACTTCATAAGATTTCCTACTTAAAACCCAAACATGATTCAAAAGAAAACTAGAATGTTGCTGAAAATATGATCTAACCACATTTAGCTGAAGAAACAAGTCATAAGGATTTTCAAATATCCTTCCTATAATTCAGAAAAACATTGTCAACTTGGCACCATGAAAATAGAGATTTAGAAAATGATAAGCCAATAAAAAATCAGTCATGATCTATTTAATTATAATCACATTTAACATGAAAAAAAGCAAATTAATTTGAATTCTTAAAAATTCCTGAGACTGTCCACAGCATCTAATGGGATCCCTTATCCTACTTAACAACTGACTGCTACTTAGTGATGACTCTCCCATTGTAACAAGATCACTCCAGTTAAGGCATACAGTAGTACACTATCACTTCTCTAAAAACACTCCCACTAGCTTTTTTTGGAAAAATGCTTATGGCAGCAAATCAAGTAAGTGCAGCATCTCCAACAGAATTAGTAGGAAATATGTTGCCATTAAGGACATAAATATCAGTCCAGACAAATATTGCATCCAGCACGTATTACAATGCAGACAGCCTTCCCCTGTACTCAGCACTGGTTAGGCTGCACTTCAAGTGCTGTTTTCAGACCTGGGCCCCTCAGTTTAGGAGGGATGTTGAGATGCTCAGACACATCCAGAGAAGGGCAGCAAGCCTGGTGAAAGGTCTAGAACACAAGCCCTATGAGGAGCAGCTATGGGCACTGGGGTTGTTAAGCTGGCCCAGAAGGAGGCTTATCACTCTTTACAACTCCCTGAAAGGAGGTTGTAGCAAGATAGGGGGTTTTCTCCCAGGCATCCAGCAACAGGACAAGAGGACAAAGTGTTAAGCTGTGCCAGGGGAAGTTTAGGCTGGACATTAGGAAAAAACGCTTCACTCAAAAAGAGTGCATGGGCATTGGAATGGGCTGCCCAGGGAGGTGGTAGAGTCACTGTCCCTGGAGGGGTTTAAGGCTGGATGCAGCAGTTAGTACCATGGTCTAGTTGATAAGGTGGTGTTAGGTCATAAGCTGGACTCAATGATCTCAAAGGTCTTTTCCAACTTAGTTAATTCTGTGACTTTTGCAGTTTATAAAACAGATTCAATCTAATATAGCTGTGGTATCATTTATCCACTTCTCACTTCTTCAAGCAATTGCAGCAAAAAAACCTTGAAACTGGCAAGAGTAGCTCATCAGAAATCAGAGCAAGCAGCAAACTCCAGGCTGGATAATCCTACTGTAGGCCCAAGCCAGAACAGTGGTGAATGACAATATTAAATACCTGAACAGACCTAGGCTCCTTTTTCTGGCTGTGCCAGTATGGCTGCTATTCTTAAAAGTTTAAAAACCCACAGAGTCTCTGGACTGACTTTTTTTTTCCTTTTTCCATCTACAACAGGCTTGAAAGCAACAGTCATGAGGTACTACTGCATTAATTGAATCTGCCCTACTCATCATTAGCTCCTTGGAAACCAAGATTGTGTATGTGATTAATTACTGAAGTCTCCTGTTTAAGGAAACTGTTACCTTTGTTTTTGAAACTCATACTTTTAAAAGGATTGCCAACATATTGCTGTACAACCTGAAATATTTATCTCAAATTAATTTTGCTGACCATACGACTAAAAAGAGATAAAACCCCTCCAGTGTGTTGTAAGTGAAAAGCCAAAGAGCAGCAGAGAATTTCCAAGACTGAGTAATTTCAAGCTTTGGGGGTTTTTTAACGGCATTTAAATATTTGGCTTCTGTTTTAAATTGCCAGCTTCCATAAGTCACATTCAGTCTAAGAGTAATACAAAGTATATTACAAAATCCCTATAACTGTCAGGAAGCTTAAATACATCTACAGAACAAAATCTACTGGAGCTCATCTCCAGTTGTCCACATGTTTATTTCATACTGCTCTGAATGTATTCTTAAACTTCTTGACTCAAGTTTTTATAAAAAAATGTGTTTTTTCAACATTATCATTTTGAGAGTACTCGAGCTAAAATGAAATATGATGTTAAATCAAACGTAGGTTGTATATCAGTTTTACCATAGACAAGTCTGCTGCACTGTAAACGTGACAAAGATTAAAACCAGCAACAAGTGTTCAGACCAGAAGGTTTCCAGTGAATCAGAACAGGAAACCAATAAAGCGATCAATGGGAGGTCATGACTTTTTGATCACTGCACTATATGGTTAAGTATCTGGTTTTGATCTAGTGCAGTCTAATCAAGTTTAACTTTGAAGTTAGGTATCAAATATACAATTGAAATAGCAACAGTGCTGAGGAATACCCAACTTAAATGCAACTTTGAAAAGAAGTCAGTATTTAGTAACTGTGTCAGGTTTTATCTCTTGAGGGAATTTTTGTAAGAGCTGACAGGTTTGTTGTAGAACGACTGTGTGCAATTCCAAAGGAAGTTCCAGGATAACAGGCCTAGGAATTTTCCTTCTACCTACTAGCTAGTTATTTATAGAAAGTTCCCAGAAACTCTTTCTACAAGAAGCTGCAATGGAAGTGTTTGTTTGGTATGAGGACACAGCAACAAAAATATTTTAAAACAGCAGTGCAATCACACTTAATGTACTGCAATTACTACAGTCAAGAAAACACCTAAATCTCTATACTCCTTCTCCCTACCGTATGCATCTATAAATACAAATGTCACTGAAACCTCAAGTATTAACTAGAATGTACTGGCTGATAGAGACTGAAAATGCACCCATTACAGGCAACAGTTACAGGAAATGAGCATTTCACACTTTTACTCTGTCATTTAAAAGCAGGACTTAAATTCAGCATTTTTAAATGGACTAAGTAACATTTCTGCCCCTGATTGCAGAAACTATTCTCATCTGTGCTGGCTGCCACTCAAATTGATAAAAGAATTTTAGGAGGTGTTTCCACCACATTTCCACTCTTTGCCTGCTTATGTTCAGGTAAGCTTACAGAGACAAACAAACTAACATAGCAATCTTCTGAGCTCGTTTTGTCCCAGAGCTGGCACCTGTGTATGGGTGCTAATACACAGTTTTTGCAAGGAACAACTACTCAGATAAACCAGTAGAACCTCAATTCCTCCATTTTTCAATCCCCAAAACTTGATTTATAGGCAGAAAAACATGACGGACCCTGACATAGCTCTAATCAATAAAGCAGACAGGTCACACAGCTTTAACACTCAAGAACATTACAATGCCATGATAAAGAAATAACTTTATCTCTAACCAGTTTACTTGCTTTGGCAATCCATACAAAATTTAAAGGACATAGTGTAACTAACTATAGCTAGCTATATTTATCTCTAATGCTGCAATCAAGAACTATTACACTGCTCAGCAAGACAGATCTGGAACTCTGATGTGTAGGATGCAGTCAGGACAAAGAAGGGTGAAAATGTTTATAAAAAGAGCAATCACCAATCTTCATTTATTTTAGCAATGAATTCAGTCTGTCACTAGTGGCAGTGAAACAGTTAAGATTCATACCAAAAACCATTGCCCTCATCCAAGTAAACAAAGTCATACCTGTTCCATTTAAGGACAGACTACACCACTGTCCTGGTTATATTGATCACATTTAGAGGTTTTCTTCACCCTCACAAGGGATGGAAAATATTTTGTTGATGTGTTACCAGGAGAGAAGGGAGAGGAATCAACCTTATCTGACACAAAGATGACGATTCATGGAATGAAGACCATCATTATGGAATCAATACTATCATTTAGAGCAAGTGTAACATGTCTGTGTTAATTGCACTGTGACCACACAAAGTTAATTGAATTTTAAAAATTATGGTCATAAAATATACATCTGCCTGTCAACTGCTTATTTAGTGAGACAGTTTCTAAAGGTAGTTGCTTTATTAAGGGCAATTAAATTGGAGAAAGCTACTGAATAATTAAATATCCCAATCAGTTCAGTCTTTCAGTAATAATCTGGGTATTCTCAAGCCAATATAACATCTCTAACTCTTTTAAGGACAAACTGAGTTAAAGGAATAAAGCAATTCACTTTTCTCAAGTATAGAGTATATATTTAACTATCCTGTGTAGACAAAGCTGCTACATTAGATTGGGTGTTTACAAACCACATGACCTCACAAACGCTATCTTATCACATCACAGGTTCCTCAGACTGACCACAACCACTTAAATCAGACTCTGCCAGCACAGAGGTTCTGTAACTTTGACACATGCTAGTAAAGCAACTACATTTTTTAGCTGTCCTTGCAAGAGCTCTATTTGTGGGGAGGGAAAAATCTGATCATCTCTTGTCCAACTGTTCTTGCAAGATATGGTAAAAGAAAAGCACATGATTTATTGTGCTATAAACTTCCACCACAAGCTGAAATGCTTACTTCGTAAATCTGAGGGCTAACATATTT